GGTGAAGTGTCTTGCCCAAGGACACAACGATCGAGACTGTCCAAGCCGGGGCTCGAACCGGCAACCTTCCGATTACAAGGCGAACTCCCAACTCTTGAGCCAAGATCGCCCCGTGAAATTTAAATTTCTCTAACTAGAAATATATTTAAAAAAAAACCCAGCCCAAATACGATTTTACATCTTTTGTAGTTTATTGCACTTTTATAGACTTAATGCATACATATTATTAAAATTTGGGCTATAACAGTTGTATTGATGTATAGCAACTTGAAATGCTCCCAAAAATGGCACTACAGCATGTAAAAATATAAAGATAACTCTGGCGGACTTGTTTCTATGGTGGGTCTTAAAGGGTTAACCACCAATAGGCCCAACTATTGACATCAGTATTAGTGTACATTCAGAATTGGTATGGTTATTCAATTCCATTAACTCCGTGACTAGTCCTTAAACCTCCTAGTCTAGAGAATTCTTGTGGTACTTTTTTACAGCTTGTTTCTAACTTCTAGACCTTGTGATCGAATTACTTTTGGCAGTTGATATTTTATGCTGATCTCTTGAAACAGGTAACAGTTTAAACAAGGTGGCTGTCAAGCAGAGGGAGCCCAGAATGACGGTATTTATAAAGTCAATTGCAAGGTTAAGCATCCACTTTACATAGTAATCTGAGCAAATGAAATGCCTGTCTGTAAACACATTTTTTGGCATATCTGCCAACCTGCCATGTACTTGTGATATGACAAGGATATCTTTCTCACATTCGTTATGCAATCATTGCATCGTCATATAAATATGTTTTTTCTGTCTTGCTCAGTTGCTGATGTTTAACAGAAATCCAGCGGAATATTTTACCGTCATCTCAGCTTTACTTTTCTCTGTAGGTATCACACCCTGACCAGTCACCCTGATTCTTTGTATTGCAGACTGGATGTTTACCAGGCCTTTTGTTTTCCTTTTTTTTTAATGTTGGCGTTCCTCAGCTGCTTCCGCCACCAGTGTCTGTAACACAATCACTAATATATCAATCCTTTCACACATTCAAAGGCAGAACCATTCAGAGCTCTCTGATTACATGGCTGTGTCAAGGGGGTGAGACATTTGATATCACTGGGCACTGGTCTGGGTGGTGGTAGGCAGGGCAAGATATGGGTCAGCTTTGTGGTGTGACTACCTACTCCATGTTCACCCCGTTACCACTCCATATTCACGTTGCTTGATGTATATTTTCGTTGCATATCCATAAAGCTGTGCTTTAAAACACTGAGAGTTACTCACAATGGATTAGCCTGTGGTTATGCAGGGGAGGTGTATGCATCTGCTGTGTACTGAACTGTTAATGCAGTACTATGGAGTGCATGTGCATAGTACCTCACTGTTAAAGACATAACCTCAAACTGCTCTAGATCTCAGCAGCCTACAGTACTTCTATTTGTGCAGTGCCTTGTGTATAATGTGAGCTGTGAGCCAAATGTAAATGTCTCAAAGGGAGCAAGTGAGTCAGCTGAATAAAACTGAGACAGATGTGAAGCCTCATATTGTGACTGTGGGAAAACGGCAACACCAAACACAACTGGTCACTCGGGGTTGATTTAACTGGGTTTCATTAATTCCCATGACTATTTTATGTTGGCAGTACATTCTTACTTATTATTTGCTTAATTTAGCCTAATGTTTTCTGTTTTGCGTCCTTCTTGTTTATACTGCAGCGAAGCCTTATAAAAACCAAGGGGTATTATTAGCTCAATAAATCAAAAATATGAGTTAATCAAAGCAAAGCCTGCGCATGACAGAAGGATTTTCGGATTAGCGTATTCTGGTATTTCCTTCTCTGTCTGGTCTGGCAAAGCAATGTAGGCACACCAAAATTATAGACAGCACAGACTCAGTCTTTGGAGGAGTTAGTGGATTTTAAATGGCAGCTCTTCCCCTGCCCCGTCCCCTCCTGCACTGCCCAGAATAATATAATTACAGACCAACAACCGGCATGTTTACATGGAAGAGAAGCACCTGTTTTCTATCATGTTGAGACCAGTCCAATCACTAGCATTTATTTTTGACATTTTCAGGATGATTCAGCTGTCTGCTCTTTGTGGATGTGTGCTACTGGGGTTTTCAAATTATGAAACTGATCTAAAGACTTGAAATCATTTAATTCATGGAGCACCAGCAGTAATGACCTGTGAAGATATCTTAACAGTCACTTAGCTGGTAAGATGCTAATTTCTATCTGGAAATTTAATTTTAACATAATGGTAACAGTCCCACTGAGACTCACAGTGAGCTGGTTTTTGCATCAGTCTGGTATTTTCTGGTACAGAGCTCTAGATTTCCCTGTTTCCCTGCCAATGTCAGCTAGGTGAGAAGTGGGGAAATAGCTGTTTCAAATATATAATTACTTTACCTGACTTACTGTAATAAATAGCTTAACTAACTTATCTAGGTCACACTACACCAAAGACAAATAATTCTACCGTAATACCATTTTACGTATTAAATGTTATTACCGTCACTCAATTAAATACTTTTATTGGCCACATTTTCAATTATGACATAAAAAGCCAAGCAGTCAGTGACCAAACCTTCAGACTTTTTTTCAGTTTAACAATTTTTTTGTCTCATAGGCAGCATGCTCATTGGCTAGTGATCATGATTTACAAAAAAAAAGAGTTTTTGTTATTCAATACGATCCAAAATAATTTAGTGAGCTCATAAACTCACCAGAACAGCGTAGGCTTAAGTATTTTTTTCTAACCACAGCTATCGACATCTAGTGACATTCAAGTAAAATTCATGTAGCTTAATTTTTCCACAGCAAAAGCTACGTGCATGTTTTATAATGTCAATTACATTACTACCACCTGAATATACTTTTACATAAATAATAATGTACAAGCCAACCAGCTCATAGCTGCAAAAGGTCAAAGCAGCTACCCTGCCTTTGTACAAGGCAGTACAATCTGTAAGCAAACACCTCCAACACCTTTTTGTGGTACTCGTTCTTATATAAAGCTTTTCTACTCTGAGCACTCAAAGCGCTTTATAATCAGTAATAGGAAACTTTAGACTTGCTTTTAGGTGGATTTTGTTATGTTTTTACAGAACATTGTTTAATTTGGACCACTTCCTGTAATTATGCTAAGCTACCTAGCTTAAAAAAACCTCAACATTTTTTAAAAAGGAAAAAATTAAAATTAGATTCTCTGATTCACATTTTGTTTTCAGATTTGTCTGTGGACTTTTAGTTTACTGTGTGTAATTTGTGGTTATATATGACTGTGTTTCTTTGGATGTGTATCCATCAGCATATGGTGATTATGTACTATATAACCTTACATGTGCTTGGTCACTGGAGAAACTATCCATCATATCTGACTGCTAACCTCCTACCCTGTTCATTCTCCAGCAGGTTATGCCACCCCAAAGGCTTCCTGGATCCCCAGCAGTGAAAGAGAAGGGCTGATCCCGTCCTCCTCCAGGTTCCTGCCGTGCAGCCCTTCTTTCCCTCTTTCTCTCTCCTGCTTATTCCCCTCTCCCAAAGACACAAACCCTACCTGACCCCAACACCTAAACACTTTGACCTTTGTCACCCACTTCTTGGACCACTCTTGTTGGTCCAGTCACGTCCACCGCATCATCTTCCTCACAGCAATTCCATAGCCAGTCTCCCCTCATTCCAGCCACACTAGTCCACTTCCCTGCGGGACCCTGCACGTTTTAGAGGTCTGCTCTACCCTCTGGCTGCTTGCCGGGCCCCATGGCTACAGGAGGTCATGCCCCTGACATAGATGTGTTAATAAACCTACAGCAGGTAAGAAGTATTGTTTTCTTAAACTGAACCTGTTCTTATAAAAATAAACATAACGATAGTTGGCATAATAATATAATAATGGATTGCACAGGAGGGGTTAATGAATGTCATTACAGTAGATGTCTATTTGAAACTTCAAGGATGCAGTTCATTTTCTTTCATCTTTTTCAATGCCATGTGCCAACACAATGCAGAGCAGCTACCTGAACTCTACTCCCACAGAGGTCGGTTATCTTGTTAACAGTCTTACATCCTCACTGCGTATGACCTTGGATACTTTTGCTCCACTGAAAAAGAAAGCCTTAAATCAGAAGTGCTTGAGTTTTGGTGTTAACTTCAATACATACGTTCTACAAACCATCAACATGTCTATTAAATGGACTGATTTCTATATAGCACTTTTCTATTGTCCTGGAGCTCCGAAGCACTTTATACAACCGCATTAACCCATTCATACGCTTTAGTGCTTTCTATCTAACATTCATATTCTGACGCAGAGCAGGGCGATATGACCAGAAATATTTATCACGATATACATTTAAAAATTTGCGATAACGATATAACTGACGATATAATTGACACTAGACAAAATACTTTACAACTCCACAACTTTATTAGTGCAAGAAAACAAACAAAACATCAATGTATTTTCACTTAAACAAGCAGCTGTTTTTTATCTGCATTAAAGTTATATAAAAATTTAACAGTGCAAATGCAAATTCCTTGCTGACAGTTTAACCAAAAGGCATTTGCAGTGGGAACTGGCTGACATATCCTCAGCATAACCATGTATAATATCCACAAAACTTAAAAAGAGGTTATACACACACAATACGGTAATATTATGTTGAAGCACAGTACGTATCACTCCGCGAGGCTCCTGACTACAATAGCTGTAATGCTCTGACAACCCATCAAGCAGTGCAGGTTCATAGCTTAGCAAAGTCGTACTAAAACATTTGACAGATTTTCGAGCGCCGTGTACATAAAATCGTTTCGAGGTCAGTAAACACAACCAGAATATATACATAAGGCACACGGGATTATAAGGGGCACTGTCGATTTTTAGAAAAATCAAAGCATTGATTTTAAGTGTGCCGTATTTTCCAAAAAACCATCCATTTCATTCAACGATCCGCTTTCACCCTTCTCATTCTCCGTCGCCACCATGCTTTTTCCGCCATGTGCGTATGAAAACAAAGGCACTGCGCATGCGCGTTTTACCCATATTCTATCGTGATATTTCATTTTCTTGTCGTTGCCAAACATTGTACCTGTATTACCGTGAAAGGCATGATATGGCCCAGCCCTATTCTGACGCATGCATTGGAGAGCAACTTGGGGTTAATATCTTGCCAAATGGAGACTGGAACTGCCCAGGATCCAACCACCAGCCTTCTGTTTAGTAGATGACCTGCTCCACCTCCTGAGCTACAGCCACCTATTAGACTCCTTTCCTACAATATTGCTCAAAGAAGTCCTACCATTTATTAGTGGTTTAGTAGAATCAGTTTAAAATGATGGTAATGAAACCATTACTCAAAAAAAGACATACCTTGACCCAGCTGTCTTAGCTATTTGTAGATCAATCTCCAACTTTTATTTTAAACATTATTGAAAGAGTAGTTGTAAAACCGCTAACTGAGCATCTCCAGAGGAATGGCTTAATTGAAGAGTTTTAGTCAGGATACGGAATTCATTACAATACAGAAAGTGAAGGTTACAAATACTCTTCTTTTGTCCTTATACTTAGGCAGTATTATTACAAGTAGGGCTGGGCCATATCATGCCGTTCACGGTAATACTGGTATAATGTTGGGCAACGATAAGAAAATGAAATATCGCGATAGAATATGGAGCATGCACAGTGCCTTTATTATCATACGCACATGGCGGAAAAAGCATGGCGGCGACGGAGAATGAGAAGGGCAAAAGCGGATCGTTGAATGAAACGGATGAACCAGAATTGGTTTGTAAAAATGCTGCAACTTCAGTGATGTGGAACTGGTTTAGCCTTCGTCCGTCAGATACACAACAAAGCACTATTTTTGGTAGAGCATGCTAGAGGGCCGTCGTTTTTACTGTGTTTTTTAGAAAATACGGCACACTTAAAATCAATCCTTTGATTTTTCTAAAAATAGACAGTGCCCCTTATAATCCTGTGTGCCTTATGTATGAATTCTGGTTGTGTTTACTGACCTCAAAACGATTTTCTGTCGTACACGGCGCTCGAAAATCTGTCAAATGTTTTAGTACGACTTTGCTAAGCTATGAACCCGCACCGCTTGATGGGTTGTCGGAGCATTACAGCTATTGTAGTCAGGAGCCTCGCGGAGTGATACGTACTGTGCTTCAACATAATATTACCGTATTGTATGTGTATAACCTCTTTTTAAGTTTTGTGGATATTATACATGGTTATTCTGAGGATATGTCGGCCAATTCCCACTGCAAATGCCTTTTGGTTAAACTGTCAGCAAGGAATTTGCATTTGCACTGTTAAATTTTTATATAACTTTAATGGAGATAAAAAACAGCTGCTTGTTTAAGTGAAAATACATTGGTGGGGTTTTTTTGCACTAATAAAGTTGTGGAGTTGTAAAGTATTTTGTCTAGTGTCAATTATATCGTCAGTTATATCGTTATCGCAAATTTTTAAATGTATATCGTGATAAATATTTTTGGTCATATCGCCCTGCTCTAATTATGAGACATATTGCACATTTTCATTGCAATGCATCTGATAACCAGCTTCATCTATCCACATGAATGTCTTAAATACATAAAGTCCTGCTTCTAAATTCAGATAGAATTGAGGTCAGTCCTTAAAGAAACATGGTGTCTAACCAGCTACTTACTCTATTACTCTGGATAAGTAATAGAGTAAGTAATCTGAATAAGAAAAGTGTTGTGTAGCAGATGTTATTATAGCAGCTTGTACAATAGAGTCGTGTTCCTTTAAAGCTACAGGAGGTCTCCAGAAACTTCAGTGCTGTTAGCGAGTGCGGCTTGAGATCAGAAAGCTAAGTGAGAAAACAAGCCTACATGATTGTTTGACAGATAGCCATGAAATGATTTGTTTGAGTTGGTGTTAAGTCAGTTCTTAGCTGCAACATCTCCAGCACTCAGTTCACACTTTCACACCAGTTAGCTGCCAGAACACTTGTTTCGACCAGAGAGCAATGCCTGCAGATATTTCCATATCCATAATGGTGTACAATAGGCAATAAAACACAATATTTGTTGTTGTTTTGAATATTTTCTACTTGGATCTGTTAATTCAGTCGGAAGCATTTGGACATTACTGTTCTGTCATCCTCAGGCTAACGCTGCCCTTTGACGCACCATGTGTACCGAAAACAAAGGGCTTGTTTCCAATATTTCCAAAGGCATTGTTTATATTTTTGCCATATGGCAGCAAGCAATAACATTTTAAATTAACATAAGCTCGGTCGCATGCACCAAAGTTACAGGACTAGCTGACAGTCCATTGATAAACTAACTGCTATTGTTCGTACTAGCCAGCCAGAAACATGCCAGCACAAGACCCATTGTACTCAGGAGACATATTTGCACCATCTGCTCTTATAGTGGTCTACAATTACTTTTGGTGGAGCGGTTTATAGTTTGGCAGAGGAAATTAGGTGGACTGTGCAAAACTGATAATAAGCTCAGTTGCCTTCTCTGTTTAAATTCTTAAAACTGTTCAATCCAAGGTCATAAATGGAGAATGAGCAGACCATATTTGCATATCAGAGTTCATTGAAGTTGAGCAAATTGCAGAGATTCAATTAATGAGTTGACTTTTGTCATAAAATCCTGCTGTTTAGACTCTGGTGTGGCTCGGTGTACATCCTTGCTCATATTTTGAGCAATAGCATTTCCTTACACAATAGCAAGATGATTATCTTGAGTGAAAAGAGCACTGAAATGTCTTGAAGACTAAATTGTTACTTCCAATTTCTCCAAGCAGTGATGAGTCACCCTCGGGTCTGTGGAAAATGCTCCATGTCCAGCTTTGCACAATGCTTTGTAGCTTTGCTTCAAGCGAAACAGAATAGCCGGTGATCTCAGGGAAAAACAGTTCTATCATCTAAGTAGGTGATGTGTCATTATGCACAGCGGGAACTGTGTCCTCCAAAGTGCATGTAACATATTGTAGTTTGGTGGAAATAACAGGCTCAACGATTGGCTGCAAAGAGTAGACTCTTTTCTACCTTCAATCACTTGTCAGCTCTGTGTTCAAATACACAGACGGAGCCTCTGCAGTGAGGCGGAGCGGCTTCTCTGCACAGGTTTTAGTCTCCTATAGTCTGATTGATTCTGCTAGTCGAGACTTTGTTTTTGTGGTTTAGTGTGAGGGCATGTGTGTATGAATCATATGAAAGCAAAGCCCAATGGTCCCCGTTGCCACAGAGACCACTGGTGTTGCTCTCTAACGTGAATGGTAAATGGACTGTTATTTATACCAAGCTTTTCTACGCTTAGTGAGCACTCAAGGCGCTTTTCACTGTAAGCCACATTCACCCATTCACACATACATTTATACAGTATTTTATTCTATACCTTTAAACACTTCTAACCACCACATACACACTCACTCTCTAATGGAGGCAGGTGTGGTTTAGGGTTACTGGTGGACACTTTGACATGTTCACTGGAGGTGTGAACTGGCTGAAACAACACAGCATAGGTCCTGGTTTATAAAGTAAAGTGGTTGTCAGTGGACCACAACAAATAGTAGTCACACATTTTTGTTTCTTGCTATTTAAGGCACAGCAATCAAATCAATCAAAGTGTATTTCTATTGCACATATTAATAACAACTGAGTTGACCAAAGTGCTTCACAGTCAGACAGAGCATGAGACAATGAGAGCGAAACAGTTAAGAAGGAACAGGGCAAGAAACAATAAAGGTGACAACACAACAAGCCAGATAATAGCCAACGAATATGAGCAGGGAGGTTATTCCAGAGTCTAGGTGCTACGGTTGCAAAGACCTGATCACCTCTGGACTGCATGTTGATGGGGCAATGCACATTGCTGCTAACAGCACTGATCATCATATGGTGGTAATGTGGGATGCTGCACTCCTGTAATTTATTGTATTTCTTATATTTGCATTGCACCTTTTGCTTATGTATCTAAGTGTTTTTTCTCAACGCTAACAGTGATGTTTCATATGTGGTGCAGCATGGAAGAACCTGGTTAAATTCTATCATTTTAATTTGCCACATTTTTGAAACTTCTACATAATAAAACCAAACCATGATGACTTGTTGCAGACATTTTCTTTTTGTCCTTAGATTTACATTGTACTCTTTGACAGCCCCAGGAAAACAAGTATCCAGCTTTGGTAATCAGTTGCATTGCATTTAAATGTTAAATTGACAAATCAGTGGTATCTCTTTATTTGCTTGGTCTTCAGTTATTTGAAGTTCTTATTTTAAGTGCTTACTACGTAAAAGGATCACTGGCTTGGTTGCAGTGCTGTCAGTTTGTCCTCTCTGTAGTAAACTTTAATTGAAGGTTTCACCAAAAGGGTTCCAAGCACACCTTCAACCTAAAACTGATACTGTGTGGCATCGTATTGTTCAAAAGTTTCAATTCTATACTGCAGCGCGGGCATATGTATAAGATAACGCAACATATGTTGAATATTTCTATTTGATAGCATGTTGCAGTTATAAATGGGCTAATTTACTGAAGACAAAGGCTGCTGTTTTCTACAGGGACTCTATAGAAGTTAACAGAAGTAATTAGGCTCATAAGGCTTATGGGTGCATGCAATAATTGAACCATATTTGAGAAGAGCTCACCATCCCTCATTTTATTTCAAAACATCATATTTATGCAAACTGTTCAGTTTGAAATAATTGCTCATAAACATCAGCTGTGCAGTGAGAAGAAAAGCAAAACACCGATGCTGATATTTATGTTAGTTGTGATTTGTTTTTCTGGGAAGCGTGCCAGCTCCTTAAATCAAAGAGGCCCGGCTTAAAGCGACAGGGAAGCCGCTTTAAACACGGCACGCCAAATAAAAGGAGGTTGAAGCAACAGAAAGAGGAGCACTCTGCGAGGAAACACAAAGAGAAGAATTTTAAAGAGCTAAATATTTTTATCCGCCTGTGTTTTAATTAGTAAAAGGTTCATTTTATATTTTAAATTTAGTGTCCAATGGTGTTTTCCAGTATCCTAAATGTTGTATAAGCAAGACCTGGCTACAGCTTTTATAAGCCAAAACCAAAGTTTATTCAAAGTCTTTGTTTCTTTGATGGTTGCTTCGGTAGCTGATGTGTACTCATTTGTCTCACGTTTGCTAATTTATTCAACTCAGCTTTATTTTCTTTCACGTAAACACATATTTTGCTACAACTAATGTGACGTCCTTTTTTATTTTATTTTAAAAAAATGTTACAAATACAACCTGTGAACCTGCTGCTCTCTATGACTTCATTAGATAATACATGTACAATGGTAGGATGCTAATTTAATCTGAAGCTTCATCATGGTTAACTTAGTTTTCATTACTGTGAGAAGAAACAAGGAAGATCTAATTTAACGTGCATTAAAGACACAGAAAGTTCCCATCATGCATGCTGTTTTTCCTCGTATAGTTGTGACAGTCAAACAGTGCATGCTGGGATCTCTGTTTGCATTTAAAAACTTAAATAATTTACTTGAATGAACTATTGCAGTATATTACCTCAAACATAGAAGTACTTGTGTACTTTGGATGAAGAGTTTGGATTACTTTGGATTATGTTAACACATGTTAACATAATCCAAATTGCTTTACAGTAGCTTATCATTTATAACTGACCTCACAGTAATCCTGATTCACCTTGTAACTTCATAACTGAAATGCGCGTACAGAACCCCGGTGGCTTTCACTTAGTGTTTCCTGATCACTAACACGAGTACACTTAATCCTCACACAAAGCAAACACAGCCCCACATACGCCCTCCTGAACAGTAGTCAGCTGCTGATAAATATTTAAATGCATCTCTGGCTCACCATACCACAAATTATGAAAAATTAATATTGTAGTAGATGTTGGGCGGTTAGAGTAAAGGTTAGAGAGGATCTCAGCTGTGTTGATTGGACTTTTTTAATTTAAGCTTCTTTACATTTTAATTGGTTCAAAGTGGCCAAACCAGCCACAGAGATTTTGAATTTTCATGAAATATTACATCTACAGACAGTAGATTGTAACCCACAGTGATGGCACTCATAGCAAACAGGGCAAATATACATTCCTGATTTTTTTCGGGTTTTTTTGTGTAATATATCTGATTTCCATTTGGGCATACAGTACTTAAAGCATACAATATTTCAAATCACTGTAAGCCATTGTGTGTGATTCTATTCCTGTACGTATCACGCCGTCACCACCTGGGCTGGGGTGGCCCACCTCCTGTGTCCTTCCACCTCATCTGACTTCAAAGCTAACATGAAAGAGTTAGGCCTCTTGTCTGTAGTAAACTCTCCCTAGAATATTGTTCCCTGTTGCAATATGTCGGGACTATTAAATTCAGGGTCTTACTCTGACGAATAGCCCTCACCAGAGCAGGTGAAGGAAATGAGGAAGTGAATGGGGAAATTGACTCATTGGAACACAGAGCACATTAAACCATGAACAAAATTGAACTGGACATGCAGTAAAAACAAGGCGTTCACTGCTCACTCACTTTAAAAAAACAAAAAAAACCTTTCTTTTATTCTGCCTAGCTACATCTGCCTCAGCCTTGTGTAGGTAGGTAGCTTGGATCATTAAATGCATCATGTCCCTTCATCCTGCTGGTAATTAGGAAGTAATGGAGCCCTGGCACACAGCAATCTGAGACCACTGAACGGTAGCCAAAGTACGCACTGTGCCAGCACCAATCTGAGGCCGAGGAAGCAGCATGTGCCAGTGATTCTGACCTATCACAAGCACCAAATAGCTGAGGCAGGACACTCCCATCAGTCTTCACTGTCTCCAGGGGCTCTCTAGTGCATTAGTTCTTTGCTGCTTAGCACTTTGTTGTATTGATTTGATGTCCTCTGTGCATGTAACAGAGAATATACAGTCGCTGTGTTCCTATTCTGATGATGCAGAATTATTTTAAAATACAATCACATGTTTTGTTTTGCTTTTTAACAGCAAAAATAAATCTTTGGCTTGAGTGCAAATCATGTCTGGAAATAGAAACAGCAGACCTACTTTCCATATAAAATAGTAACAAAAATGATTATTTGTTTTGCATTCATCCCAGATTAGCATTACACTTTCATTTAGCATGAATGTTCCCCTCGTGTGGCTGCTGTTTCTGATGAGTCAAGGTGTGTCGTGCTAAAGAACTGTCCAGCTAGATTTCCCACTTTGCTAGCATATACAATATAGTAATCAGGGTAACACATTTCATGTATCACGTAGAGATTTTATAGCAAACTGGAAAAACTTCTTGTTAAAGCTGAGGTTCAATGACAGGGGGCAAGAGTGGCCTTTAGATATATGTTACGGTTATTGCCATGCAGTTAATCATCCTTTTTTGTCTTTACTGAAAGTATTTGTACTGTCGTCCAGGTAAGGGTGGAAGAGGAAGATGAGGATGGATGCGTGGAGGACCAGGAGGAAGAAGAGGAGGAAGAGAACTGGGAGAAAGCTCTGTCCGTGGAGCGCTTTGCAGACATCATCAGTGACTCTGCTTCTACCAGTGGAGACAGGATGGGGCGACACTACACTGAGAAAGACTTTGAGTGTAAGCAAAGCTGCCGTGCACACATGACAGTATAGCTTCACTTGCACAAACAAAAGAAGCCACTGAGACAAGAATGCAGTCAAATGTCGAATTTGATATTTTGGATTTGTTTTTATATTACTGGCCAAAACTCATTTTTATTAGCATTTCTATATGTATTTTATTTTGGTTTAGGGCTACTCATCAGATCAGGCAACATTTTTCAAATCTTCTGTTGTTCATTTTCGGTGACCTTTGCAAATTGTAGCTTCAGTTCACTGTTCTCAGCTCACAGGACTGACACCTGGTGTTGTCTTCTGCTGCTGTAGCTCATCTGCAATGTGTTGTTCATTCAGAGATGCTCTTCTGCATCCTTTGGTTATAACAAGTGGCTTTTGTTGAGTTTCTGTTGTCTTCCTATCAGCAAGAATCAACAAGACCCTTTCACCCAGAGAGCTGATGCTGTAAACCCCAGAGATGGTTGTGTGGGAAAATCCCAGCAGATAAGCAGTTACTGAAATACTGAGACTAGACCGTCTGGCACCAGCAGCCATGACAGTACTCCTGTCATGTGGTATCCATCAGCTTTATCTGCAGTGCACTCTGTACACTGTGTATGAATTTCTACCACGTATCTTAGAATTGAGCACTGCACAGTTATTTGAACTATTTACTCGATTTTGTGAACAAAGTAAGCAAGCAAGTAAAATGTATTTATATAGAGCTTTTCAAGACAAGGAAACAATCACAACATTTTTACAGAGGAAAAGCTGCAACTCTGTAACAAATTACAGGATGTATCTGTAAGAATTTCAAAAGGTGGTATTTTTTAAGTAATGGACATAGAAGCTTATTGTAAATCTTAAAATACATGACTGAATATGAAATTTTACAAACACAATTTAAAAGTGCCTATTTAATGTGTCCCCCTCTGGACGTACGGCATGTGTCCATATAATAGACACATTTGTCCTATACTTTTGGGAGCATGGCTGGAGTCACTGCAGCCATTGCTGCTGGTACCTATACACTCAGTACACTGAAGACTACAATTTAAGATACACTGACAAGACCAGTCGATGTTTATTGTCAACCCAACAATATGCACTCAAGTATACAATGGGACGAAATATCATCCTCCTGGATCAAAGGTGCGAACAATAGAAATGAAAATGAAAAAATATACATATATACAACTATGCAAGAAATAAGACAATGCCACATTATGTGACAGTGCACATAATGTCGATTTTTCTACAGTGCTTTAAAAAAATCTTTTACTGTTGCTATCTGGCATCATAACAATCATCAGTGCTGAAATATCCTGTACTGTAAATACACATGTATCCCAGCTGATCCTGACCCTGTCCGTTGTGGTAAGAGATTAGATCAAAGCAGGGCACCATATATTGGGTATGTTGAGTAAAAGGCTGGATTAGCTTTCAAGAGATTAGCTGACGGCTATCACCTGACAAGAGATAATATTGGTAAAGATGGAGCTGCTTTCCTTTGGTGTTTGTTAAAGAGTTATGTCTTTCTAGGGTTTTAGGAATTAAAGGAAGATTCTTTCAACTGAAAGTTGCACTTTTTTTACACTGCATGTTTGATATTGAAAGGAATTCAAAGTCTTGGCCCAAGCAAACTATAAGTAGTCCTAAGGCCGGCTGGTATATCAGCTTTTTTAAGTACCCAGCTGGTTCTGAGGTTCTCCTCAAAGTTTCCAACTTCTTTAACAACAGAAGCTCACAGCTCACATCAGCACACTGCTGCCGCTTGGAAATTACTTGGAAGCGATTTTTGATTAAAAGTGCAGTTTCAGTCGGCAACTGTTCATTGCCTGAAAAGAAACAGAACAATATGTCTGTTGGTGGTATGACAATATAGGCTGCAGCCTGTGTGGGCACAGAGAGTAGGAGAGAAACAACGAATATAAAGGGCTCACACATCCTGAAACGAGGAAAAATGCAAATATAATGCTAATTAGTGATTTTAGTGAAAGTTTTTCAACACGTTTGGCGACTATAGTATTTCAGAAAAAGAATAACGTCTGCATTTTATTTTTATGACTTTCTGTGATGTCTATCACTGTAAATGGCTAGAAAAGGTAAAAAAATATTCATATAATGTATATACCCTTTTAGCCAAATACAAACTATAAGAAGTCTCATCCCAATATTCTTCAAACTGTTCTGCATTCTGCTGAGCTGAATCCCAGTTAGAAATTGTTTGGGGAGAAGTCGATAATAAGTATAGGAGTTTTTCAGACAGGCTGAAATGTGTGAGGTAGCTAAGAATAAAAACATCCCCTCATGGTACCGCTGTCATTCTGTGGAGGACCCATGACTTTAACATGTGCAGAATAAATTTACACTGGGAATTGTCAGAGGAGAATGGTCAGACTGCTGCTTATAGGAAGGAAAAATGAACTCAGAGAACCACAGTATGCAGAATATCATCTGTAAATGCACAACATTTTGCTCCTTGAAGAAGATGGGCTAAAGCAGCAGAAGACCGCACTGGGTGCCGCTCCTGTTAGCCAAGAAAAGGAAACTGAGGCTATGATTCACATTGGTTTGCTAAAATTGGGCAACAGATGACTGGAAAAATGTTGCCTGATGAATCTTGATTTCTGCTACAACACTTGGATTGTAGTGTGAGTGAATTTGATCATGGATCCATCCTAGAAGTTCAGGCTGCTTGTGGTGGTGTAATGCTGTGGGGGATGTTCTCTAGGAATACCTTGAAAACCTTATTATCAACTGGCAATTGTTTGAACACCACAACCTTCCAGACTATTGTTGTTGATTATTCCCATCCAGTTATGACCACAGTGTACCCATCTTCTAATGGCTGCTTTGTGAAGAATAATGTATCACAAAGCTCAGATTATTTCTGTCTGGTTTCTTGATCATGACGGTGAGTTCGCTGTACTCAAATGGCCTCCACATTCATCGGACTGCAATCCAATAAACCCCCTTTGAGCTGTTGGAGTGAGCGATTGATGTCATGGATGTGCAGCTGGGAAGTCTGTATACATCACCAAAGAAAAAGCATTTCACGTGATATGGAATGAGCTGCTCAGCCAGCTGATGTGAATAAACCATCTGATATCATGGCCTCTCTTTGACACAGATCACAGACACACATTTCACCATATGCACCACCCCTTGTCCACTCACCTGCCCGTGCCCCAGCGTTTACGGAAGAGGGTACACAGCATGGAGAAGAGGCGCAAAAAGAAGCGCAGGAAAAAAAAGACTTCGCTGCCGCCTTCTGACGTTACGCCTACCATACACGAGGTAGACGAGGAAGAGGCAGAGTCGGAGACCGAAGGGCAAGGGGTGGCTGTCACTCCCGCAGAGCTCCCTGAGGTCCAGCCACAGGTAAAATGTGACTTATACAGTGTAACTTTTGCAAAATCCACTCATGTACCTGAGCTGCTGATAAGATGCTTGTGGCATTAATACTTAAACAAAAGAGAATCATCTGTGGTTTTGATTATGGTTTTACTATGTATAGCCAGATTTATATATGCCTCCCCCTCACTGATCCTCCTCTTTCTCTCAGTTTAGTTTGGGGAGCCAAGAGGACTTGGGGGAACCCCTTCACCACACTATCGTCCACGCGGAAAACGAAGAACAACCTTTGTCGAGGAAAACAACTGCGCTGACTCTGACAAAGGGGGCGGCTCATAATGGGGGAATAACTGTTACTGGACAGAACGATGACATGGATGGAGGAGAAGCAGCATGCAACAGGTGTGACTTCTGACATCTGAGTCCTCTCCAATGTCCTAGTAAACATTTGTAAAATGCAAAAAATCTGCAACACTGCCCAACACAAAGATGGCAAATATTCACATAATTTGTTTCATATGTTTCGCATAATTAGCGTGTCTGTTGCTACAGGACATTGTGAAAAAAGGCGATATGCTACAGCCTACTCACTGACCAGTACTGACCTCTTGTCAGTCTTTTAGCTAAATTAGCTCAAATTGAAACCTTTTCTAGGTCCCATATTCTACCACTTTAATACACATATTAATATTACGTCTTAAAGTCGTAGATGTAATAGTAATATGTGTATTCATATTACATCCAGAATGTGTATTTTAAATTCCAGTCGTAAATGCTGCACACTTGCACTCTGACTGTTTGATAATCAGTGTTGGTAACTTTAAATCAAACTAGTGTGGCTGCTGCACCTGCCCCTTTGAGGAAGAAGTTTATGAGTGATAGAGAGAAGCAGCCAATAAGAGCAGCACATGTGTTTCAGTATACGGTCTGCCAGTGCAGACCTGAATAAGTCACTCAGTGGCTTCTGACTTTCTCTCCGAATGATAGTTTGGCTTGTAAATGGTAAATGGCCTGTATTTGTATAGCGCTTTACTTAGTCCCTATGGACCCCAAAGCAATTTACACTACATTCAGTCATCCACCCATTCACACACTGGTGATGGCAAGCTACATTGTAGCAACAGCTGCCCTGGGGCGCACTGACAGAGGCGAGGCTGCCGGACACTGGCACCATCGGGCCCTCTGACCACCATCAGTAGGCAACGGGTGAAGTGTCTTGCCCAAGGAAACAACGACCGAGACTGTCAGAGCCAGGACTCGAACCGGCAACCTTCCAATTACAAGACGAACTGCCAACTCTTGAGCCACAATCGCCCCAGAAAATATAGCCGAGTTCTTGGCACAGCTGTTGTTTTTAACATTTGTGAATGCAGAGTTTGTCAGACAGCATCACAATTACAAAAATCTGGATTTTAGAGGTGCAGAACAGCTTAATTAAGCTCCACTGTTGTTAATACAGTGCACATATATAAGTGTTTCATGGGTGTTCTATTGTCTCACAGCAGGAACAGAACAATATTTCTTGACAACAGATTTACTGAGAATTTAGCTGTATCAGAAATGCAGCATAGGTAAACTGCTAGCAGAATGCTAACTGAGGTTAATTGTGCAAAAGAACAAATATGGAGTAACACACACCCAGTACTATTGATTTTTGTTATCAATCAGCCCTTAAAGTTTCGACTGTTTGTGTTGTCCCTCACTGTGATGAGCTCTGACCGGCATGCATAGGATCAGAGCTAATAATTATGTTCCCCACATTAGCCCTGCTTGACACTAAACTGGTTGTAATGCATATCATTGTACAAAGAGAGGATCTTTGTTACTAGTGAGGAAGTCAGGAGTAGTGGAGAAGTATTCGAGGCTAATGCAGGAGATGTATGAGAACAGTGGAGAGGTGTTCAGTTGGAGGGACAGATGGGTTCAAGGTGGCTGTGGGCAGAGATGGGCAGTAACGACTTACAAGTAAGTAAAGTGAGTAACGAGTAAAGTAAGGGATTACTATTGCAAAAAGGTAATTAGATTACTGTTACTTTCCCGCAAGCACGCTGCGTTACTGCGTTACTAAAACTGTGTTGTTGTTTGTTTGTTTTTGGTTTTTTTCGTGAGAGTGTCTCATGACAATGACGTAAGCGAGTGCAACGTTCTGGCAACAGCTGTGTGCAGATCAAAAATGGATAATATAACGAGTGCGGGGAGAGTATGGAGGACACGCATACTTTCATACACAAACAGTTACAATCACCTCATAAACTGCTCTACCTTTAGCTGTGCATCTCTATTTTAGTCTCCACCAACCCATTAATGTGTAGTTTTTCAGGTATCTGACCATTAGCAGCTAGCTGCTAAAGTTAAGCTAGCTGCTAAAGTTGTCTGTTTGTGGCTGATATGTTGGACAGGTAACAGTGTGTTCATTAAAGATTATATTGCTGGAAACAGCTGCCCACTGAAGCTGAAAACACAGCTGATTAAAGCAGTGGGAGGCTATTAAAGCTGTGGGCCATAAAACTGAAATACATTGCTAAAAGATGCTATAACACTGTGGGGGAAATACAGGGATGAGATTAGCTGTAGGATTATCATTGTGAGCAAATTCTTTCACACTACACCAAGTCTTTTGTTAAACTTTCATCCACTTAATTATGCAGCTTTAACAGCCTTTTGTTATCAGTTTATCCCTGACTGCTGTCTGTTTCACAAGGCAGAATTTGGCAGTGATAAAGCCTATCACAGGAGCATGTTGCTGGTTACATTTTCCTAACAACAGTCATAATTTAGTATTTTATCAGGTTCAAATATATTAAATACATTTTGGTTTATATTCAGTGCTTCCTGTTGTTTTCTGAATTTGAAACCTTTAACTGTGTGAATACTTTTTCGTGCAGCAAAACCTATAAAACAGGCTCGTGCATACGAGAGCATAGGCTAAGTAAGCTGTATTTTTAGATGTGTGATACTTGTCATTGGAAGCCAATAACATTTATAACCCATACGTGCAGTTTTTAGGGCAGTTATGATCCATTAATGGTTCCAGCTGAATCATTCATATCTGGCTTGCTAACACATACAATATAACCATCAGAATATGAATTATTTGGTGATGCTTTGAATTATGCATGGAGTTTGCTGTTGGGAGGTCAGGGGCGCCATGGTGATTCAAGTCCTTGTCTCTGCTAATGGCTCACTGGATAAAAGCACAGAAACAAGCATCATGCCTGAGCCATGCAGCATTTCATTGCTGTGTTTGAGTAAGCTCAGCTGAGGATGACTCAGAGGCTTGGAGAGGAGATCCAGGCCTGTTGTTGTGTTGTGAAGCCCTCTGTTGGTAAAGTAACCGCAGTGCATGAGCCAAGAGAGTATTTATCAAAAACGATTTTAACATAAAGTATATTAATACTTTATAATGTGATGATTTATGGTTGATTTGTGGACTACATTGTGGTTCATATTTTGGTTTTGAAAACAATAAAATAAAGTTCTTTCATAATGTCAAAGAATTAATTAATTAAAATTTCACAAGCCTAACTTATAGTGCTCTTTGTCAGTGTTCCCTCAGGATCAGATCCCTCAAGTTCAATCACACCTCATGGCTGGTTCCGCAAGAAGCCTGTCCACCACCGTCTGCCGGGCACCCAGCGAAGCAACTACGACCTGCGGGAGCGGATCTGCATCGGCAGCATGACTGCCCTGGAGACTGCCGTCTATCAGCAGGTGCCCACTGATGAGGCTGAAGCCCAAATGTTGGTCAGCGCTGATCTGGATGACATGAAAAGTAAGAAAAATACTACACTGTATTTTTAGGGCAGTTTATGTTCAACCCAGTATCACAGAAAAGCATGTAATAGACACGTGTTCCACTGTGTCCATTTCACGCTTTGCCTCTCCAAAGTGTGAAAAGCACATGAATGCAGAAGTTGCAGTAAGTTGCAGTGAGATGCAGTACCAGCAGAGGGAGATATTTTATTGAGAGCAACATGATTATAATTCAATTCAATTCAGTTTTATTTATATAGAGCCAAATCACAGCAACAGTTGCCGCAACGTGCTTGATTTATAACCGCGGGGAAGTATTTAAACAGCCATTACTCACACATTTACATGTACATATTTAGAAAAAAATATATAGAATTGAGCTTGATCTAATAATGCTGTGAATAAATCGATTGGTGTGTTTAGCACTTTTCACTGGACAGCATCACAGTCGGCGAGGCTCTGTGTCACTCTATTTTATTATCATTTCTCCCACATCATGTTGACGAAGGTGTAGAAACTCCTTTTAATAGAGTGGAGACATACAATGCAGTAATAGAGAGAAGGACTGGAGGGAGGCTTAGGGCAGGAAGATAAAACCCGGTGGAGAGGAAATTGGTAACAGCGTAGAGGGGTAAGGGAAGAGTGCTGGTGCTGAGGTAAGTCAGCCTGCAGGCTGCTGGAGCAGGAGCAGGAGGGAGGGGTTGGCAATGGCCATAACAATGAGAAAACGAGTGAGGAGGTAAGAGGAGATTTAGAGCAAATTGATGCAAAGACCTGTTGAAACCTGTGTGTGTTTGAAATGCTGGAATAACTGTCTGTTTTTAGGTAGCTATGGTATTGTTTTTATTATTAAATGCAAGTCAAATAGGGGTTTTTATGTGATTATTGGGGACAATACAAAAAAATAGCCTTTTAAATTCCTCACTGGTGTTGAGGAAAAGCTTTGGAGCAGGACAACGGTAGATGGTTGTCTCCATCTCTGAAAGCACCTTCTGAGATGACTCATTTTTTCTTATCACCCACGCCACAACAGTGATGTGTGTGGTGGTGGAGGAGGGAGGGGAGTCTTTGTGAGCTGCCTGTATTGTTATATATCAGCCAGGGACTATGTGTGTTAGTGTATTATTGATGTAAATGCCAAGTAAATGCAGTGAGTTAAAAATGAAGACCTTGACTCGCATCAGTGCTCTGATCTGATCGTACGTGGATGTGACTTCAGATTCTTGGCTGTGTGCACCTCGCAATAAAGGAAAGTCAATGTCAGTATGTATTATTCTTAACATAGAGCTGGATATGTTTCCCTTGATGCTATCTTGAGTGCTGTTGAAGACATAATAAAGCCTGCTGCTTTGACTACAGATTAAATGATTAAATAGAACCCTGTTTCCCTCTCATTAAGTGACTAATTATATCCAGAAATAACAGGACATTTTTGATGACATAATAATAATGTGTGTTGTGGGTTTGCTGCCCTCTGCTGGCTCTGAAAAGTACTTCCACTATGCTTACACAATTGAAACATTCACGTCTTTATCTTTATCTTTAT